GGGGGGGGGGCTGCAGTGTGGGGCTCAGGATTGGATATGCAGGTGCTGTTTCAGGGAGTGGGGAAATGGGGGGAGGTAAAAACTGGGGGGTTGGGGGAATCAGGGGAGCAGGGTGGAATTTGAGGGGGCTGAGAAGTGGGGGGTCATGGGGAGCAGCGGGAGCAGGATTGGGGGGATGAGAAGTGGGGGGCTGCCGGGGAAGCAGGATTGGGGGCTGTGGGGCAGGGATTGGGGAGCTGAGAAGTGGGAGGGTCATGGGGGGCAGGATTGGAGGGGATGAGAAATGAGGGGGCCACAGGAGGCAGGGGAAGCAGAATTGGGGGCTGCGGGGCAGGGACTGGGGGGGATGAGAAATGGGGGGACCGCAGGGGGCAGGACCCAGCTCCGGTACCTGCAGCGCCGACAGACACATCTCAGGTTCGTCGCCCCCGGCCAGGGGGCTGATCGAATTCAGGATCTTCAGGAACTCTTCGGCGTCGCTCGTCTTGTGCACGGGCCCGAAGCCTGAAAGGGGGAAACCGAGGCGGGGGGACAGGATCGGGGAAGGGCGGGAGTCAAAGAGCAATCGCCCTAAATCCCGCTCGGCTCCACCCCCGAATCCCCTGACCAGCCCCCCCAGCCCCCCCAATTCTCACTCTGAACCCCACAGCCCGTCCCCCCGTGACACGACACCCCCATATTCCTCACCGAGATACGGTTACGGCGTAACGAAGAGATGGGCCATGTGAGGTGTCATTGGAAAGGTTAGAATTCCCCGAATGTGATTATCCTACGCGTGGGCCTGTATCATTTCGGTATCGGACGTTAGCAATATTCTCTAGGCGGCTATACAGATGTGTCTACACCTGGGGAACACCCACTAGCCCGACTGCGATCAGCCGGGATGGTCCCACTCCACCCCTTCCCCCAAGCCCCCGTCCCGCCTCTTTCCGGCTTCCGCCCCCGAGCAACGACCCCCGACCCCCAGGCCTCCCTGGACCCGGCGTCCCTCTGAAACGCAGGGCCCCCCAAAGCCTGAACATTGGTGGAGCCGGGCCCATATAACTCGCCGCCGATGCACCTGAGAGCAAAAAGCCTGGACTTGGGGGGGCCGGGCTGAGCCCAGGCCGGGGGTGTCTGGCCTGTGATAGGGATAACTGGCGGGTTAAGCTGCAAGATGGGGCAGCTGGCCCCAAAACCCTCCGCAAGCTCCTAGGACAGCGTGTAGGGTGGGAATTTGCTGCTTATAACCAGTGGCTTTAGCGTATTACGCTTCGTTTGCGTGTTGCTTTGGTCCGTTTGCTACGCCGTATAAGCACAGAAAATCTCTCGTTTGGAGTTAATAACTTTGGTCTAAAAGCAGGGTGTGGAAATCCTACCCCGGGGCAGAAAGCTGGGGTATGTTCCCCTTCCCATTGAGGGAGGGGGCGAATTTCCTGAGCTTGCGCTGTGCTGATCCGTGCAGGACAAGATGGTAAAATTTG